ACGGCGTCGACGGCGTCGGGGCGTCTGTGGGCTTGTCCGTAGGCTTGTCCGTGGGCTTGGGCGTCAAGCTCGTCGGGCACGGCGTCGACGGCGTCGGGGCGTCTGTGGGCTTGTCCGTAGGCTTGTCCGTGGGCTTGTCCGTAGGCTTGTCCGTAGGCTTGTCCGTAGGCTTGTCCGTGGGCTTGGGCGTCAAGCTCGTCGGGCACGGCGTCGACGGCGTCGGGGCGTCTGTGGGCTTGTCCGTGGGCTTGTCCGTGGGCTTGTCCGTGGGCTTGTCCGTGGGCTTGGGCGTCAAGCTCGTCGGGCACGGCGTCGACTGCGTCGGGACGGGGCTAGGGTACGCGGTCGGGTCGGTGGGCTTGGGCGTAAGGCTGGGGCACGGCGTGTCGGTGGCCATGGCGCCTTGGCTCATCGCGGCCACGAGCGGCAACGCGCAGGCGAGCACGGCGAGCTTGCTAGGACCAATCATGATGAGAATACGAAAGTGAGCTCGACCGTGCGGCGCGTGGCAACCGTGAAATCAGGCCCAGGAGTGCGCCATCCGACACCCAACTCGTGCCGTCTGGGCGTGACACACCCTACTCAGATACGCGGCCAGCTGGTGGCGGCGGCTCTCAAAAATTCGGATTCGATTGTCTATCAGTTACTATCAGGCTTGGACTTTGAGAGCGCATGAGAGTGGGAAATTTGCGCTCTCTGAGAATCTGGGTCGATGACCTCTCGCCAGCTGGCTAGACGATCCACCGAACGATCGGACAAAGGTCTGAGTTGGCGCCCTCCATTGCTCGCTCAGCGCGTTGACAACTGCACGCGACGACGACCGACGGCTTGACTATAAGTATAGGATCCGCTCTCCTACCCTTGGAATCTGCCCGTCCAAGCATCGTGTCACGCGCTTGCTTTCAATGAGGGCATCGCATCAGGCCGTGTAAATGCACCCTCGCACTCATCTGAGTACACGAGGACCCGTGCTGCGAGGAAAAGACGTCGCTTTGGATGCGTAATATGGTGCAGAAATGACACATTGGTCGGCGCCGCGCAACCGCACACCTGGCCTTGCCGCCAAAGGGCAAAGTCGTCCGGCAAAGGGCAAAGTCGTCCGGCAAAGTGCACAGTCGTGCGCAAGAGAGTGCGCCGACGCTCTCATTGCTATCTGCACTTCGCTATCAGCATCGTCAGTCGAGTGCGATGGGATCAGTACAGCTATCAGTACAGCTTGTGTAGTGCTACAAAAGAGTCGATCCAAGTCCGCTGCAATCCCGCGCAAAACTGGTTCTCGCCCGTCATTATTTAGCATGGCGACCGTCCACATAATACTATACGTGCTGCCGTGTGAGGCAGTAGTTCCAGTTCTATGGCCTTCGTTTCGCGCATGCGATCGACACACTGAAACGAAAGAGAGGCGCGCGAGGGGACTCACGGATCGACTCTCAATTTGGATTGCGACGTCCCGACCAATTTACGTCCAGAGTCTACCTCCTGTTGCGTGCATGGGATGAGAAACCTCGGTCGGCAGTCCTCCCCTTCTCGGCCGAGTTCTTGTCACGCACCGAAACCATACAAAAGACAAGACGATATTCTTCATGTCGTCGTTGTTCGGGCGGCTTCCAATGCCGACACCAACATTGCAGCGCTCTTTTTCTCCCACCGACGACGCTACCATCGCCCACAAGAGGCGACACTGCAGTAATACCCGCTACTACGGCGAGTGCCTCTACGTTGCAGTCTACGATGTGCCGTCGCCTTTGAATTTCATATGATGTCCTTAGCGCACGAGTAAACACCAAAAAAGGCAGTCGGTCCATGCACGATTGCTTTTCAACAACGCCTGCTGCGATGGCGACGACCTCGAGAGGCCTCTCAAGGGTCTACTATAACCCTGGGGACTATGCAGTGGAAACCTGCGACGTGCGCGTCGAATGTGTCTCCTCTTGTCGCATTCGCAAGTGTCAATCGGACGATTGTGGACTTCCTTGGATACACGGACCTTCTTCGGACGTTATTGCGCGCTTATTCCAGCGCTCACGTCACATGCCGCCTGCTACATTCAGACACATCGTCGTCGTCCGTGCGCCACTGCAGAATTCATGCAGCCTGTTATCTCGGAGGCTCCATTCCGTTGGAAAGCCAAACGCTTTGGATCATGGCCGCCGTGCCAATGGCGGCCGAGAGCGACTTTGTTTTCCGTCTCATACGACAACGATGGGGATGGCGCGAGCTCGCTTGCTCTGTTAAATCTTGTGTCTGTCTCCTCATCTAGCTCGACTTGGTGCGGCGTCACCCTTGTCTAATAGGCCGAGCGAGCAGATCACGAAGACCAAAGATTGAAAGAACAAAACGCCGAGCAAGCCAGCTCGAGCCCTGCCCAACTTGCTGGTGAAATAAGTTCTTATCAAGCAAGCAGTTACATACGATAGCGGATGTCCGAATGGGCTCGTGAGGCAATGTCGTTGCGTCAAACGAGGCGCGCGAGTGGCCATGGTGTTGAAGCGTGCGAGGGATGACGTCCCGATCACACTATGTACCTTCCGCTCCAGCAAGGTGTGTTTGCCGTCGCTCACTGCCCTCTGGAACGAACCACATCTTGCTGGAGCGGAAGGTGCGGTGTGTTGCGTTCGAGCCAGCATTCGCAAAGTTGTATTAGTGGCAGACAGAAAGCTAACTTGCACCGTCGGTATGGCGGACACCAGCACGCTTCTTGCCTTCACGTCAAAGTAGCTTGGAAGACAAATGGGACTGATGGTATGCAGACACACGAAAAATGTCTGGATACAGCGCCGCGCAGAGACGTTGTGTCCATTCCGCAATCAAGACCGAACTACTTGGGGGCAACAACCGTGTTGGTGTCCGCCATGCCGGTGGTGGGCGAGGCGGGTTAGTTATTTGACGGTCACTACCAAATTGGAAATAGCTTGAGCTCGCTTGCTCTGCGCCTGGGACTTGGCTTTTGTTCAAACTTGTAACTGGTCTTCTAGATCGCTCGTCCTTGCGCGGAAAACCTCTTCCACTGCTTGGAAATGGCCCTTCTCGTGCTCCCTTTGGCTCGAAAACGTACCTCGCCTTAGTCTCGAACCGTAGGATGCGAACAAAGGTTTGATGAGCTCTCTCCGATCGCACTCGATTGAATCTTGAAAGCTTCCGAGTGACAGGCTTGCCGACGACGGCATCGAATCTACAACCTCAATCCTCAGTCCATTACGCTGTCGTTAGCCATCCAACTAGAGTCGGCTCACTCGTCGCCTCGTTGTGCCCAGTCCTTCCACGTGACGACGGCACTGCGCTAGTAGCTACGCCCTCGCTTTTATGCGCTGGTATGTCGTATCGACCTATGAACAGGACGTGTGATGCAACTCCGCAACAACAACACCTGCAGCGCGGTACTGCTGCGAGATGGCATTGGAACCCGCTGTCCATTTCCGCATTGCTCGAGAGTGCAAACGAACTCAATAACGTGGTATATGTCTGGTAGAACATCTAGTCTACTGCTGTAGTAGCTCTGGTCTAGCAGTCCGTCGGCTGTGATGCGTCCTTTGATCAGCTTGCTGGTGCATCGGGCCGCGTATCCGGACGCGTCCGAATGTCCTTAATAGTGTTCATCACACTATTGCATCGCCTTCAATGATGAAATACTGTCATAATAGATTCTACGATGCCGTAAGTGAGCATGGTCCGCGGTTCGGTGCGGTCGGCCCTTGCCACACACTCAGCATGGCACTTGACACGACATGAACGCGATTGCACGCTTGTGCATCCGCGATGGTCCTGACGCCGTTGGCTCCATCATACACTATTTAAAGCATCAAGTATAGTGTACCTGCAACCGTGCGTGGCGTTGCATCCGGACGGCTGGCATTCCTCTCGACCAGTCCATTGCTCCCATGTTGCGCGCTGCGACCGTCCTCCACTCCCGCGCCCAGTGGCGCAAGGCGACGAGCTCCGTCGGCCAGCACCTTCGCTTCGCCAAGTAGGCCACGCTTGCTTCCACCTCTCTATGGCCGCTAACCATGGTCACTATAGCCAGTCGTCGGGCCTGCCCGTCCGCGCCGCCTTCTCGACGCTCGCCCCGAGGTATCCATCGTCGCCTATCGAAGGCTTACGTATACTGTCTTGTAGCGACGAGTCGACGTCGCTGACAACGCCGGCGCCGACGTCGGAGCTGGACCCGGTCATGCTCCAAAACGGCGTGGACTTTGTGCATACGGCGATTTCGCCGGCGACCGCCGAGATGGGTAGGGCCTCCGGCTCGGTTGCGCCTTGTCCATCGAACATGCGTAGGCTACTCGCTTGCGGAGATTGCGGTGCGCGTCTTGGACGTGGCCCACGTGACGACGGGCCTTCCGTGGTGGGCGACGATCATTGCGACGACCGTCGCGGTCCGCTCGGTGTTTTTCCCGATTTCCGTCATGTCGGTGCGATCGATCGATATACATTGTGTGAGTTCCATGTACAAGGGACCGCCTTTAGATGCGCAACTCGGCGCGCATGAACATCATGAAGCCCAAGCTCGAGAAGCTCCAGGAAGAGATCAAGAGCTCGCAGGAAGCGTACGACCCGAAGAAGATGGCCGAGTTCCGCGCGCGTGCCAAGAACCTCTTCAAGGAGCACGAAGTGCGTCCGTTCATGTCGTTCCTGATGCCGCTCTCGCAGGTAACCCGCCGTGTTGTCGGCGACGCGTGCTCATCATCCTCTAGCTGCCGATTTTTTTGGGCTTTTTCTGGGGTCTCCAGGAAATCTCGACGCACATTCCCGAGTACGCGGGCGAAGGCACGCTGTGGTTCCAGGACCTCGCGGCGCCCGACCCGCTCTATGCGCTCCCCGTCATCTCGTCGGCGCTCATGATTGCGTCCATGGAGGTAGTTTCTTGGATATGTGACTTGAAAGATTGATACTTATGGTTGGTTGTGGCGTAGGCGGGCGGTGACGGCCTTCCGAAGGAGTACCTCTCGCAGGCCAAGATGGGCATGCGCATGGTGGCCCTCATCATGGTGCCGGTCGCGACAACGTTCCAGTCGGTACGATGACCGACTGTTCGGAACGCACCATGACACCCTTTTTGTTCCACAGGGCATCCTCGTCTACTGGGTGACGTCCAACTGCTTTACGCTGACCCAAACGATGCTGCTCAAGGTGCCGGCCGTGCGCTCGGCCCTTGGCATCCCGAGCGTCCAGGTACAGACCCGTAATAAGGATGATTGAGCGAGGACGATGCCGTCGCGTAGGCGTTGACGCCGTCGTTTTCGACGTCGGCGACGGCCGTGTCTCCGTTCCAGGCTGCGGTCGCCCAGGCGCAGAAGGGCAAGACGGTGCAGACGTTTGCCAACAAGCCCAAGGCGGCCAAGAAGCAATAGACAATATTGATCGTAAAGGCGGCGCTCTAGACCGCACTGCATAGACCCCATCTCAATCCATTTGCTCGCGCTCGGTCGAGTAAGTTGTCGCCTTGTGTTGCCAAGACACTACAAATACACATTGTACGATGCATCCTACTGTACTGCAAGGCACTTCCGATGCCACGCTCGTCACGGCCTGTCCATTGCCGTGATCATGTGATCATGGACATCCTCCATGTCCATCGCAGTGGTCCAGCGTCGTTTTTCAAATGTGATCACCGATCTACATCGAATGGATCTTCTTCCAAGTCTCAATTTGTACATCTCGCACTTGCAGATGTGGCTCTATCCTGGTGACCACGTGCCCGACTGGTACACGCGTTCAGAATCTGGAAAAATCTGGTACAGCGAGAGACGCTCAAGAGACGCTCAAGAGACGCTCATGAGAGTGCCTTGCAAACGGCCTCTCTTGGCTACGTCGGGCGCGCACCCTGTGACAAGTGGCTCCGTCGCCGTTGCTCGCATTGCAAGGCAGCGCCTCGAGTTGTTGATGTTAGGGCACATGGATCGCAGATATTGCAAGCACATTATTGTAGAGGTCATTGCAAGGGCACTGGTTGTTGATGTAGTGGTCATTGCAGGGTACTGGTTTTTGATGTAGAGGTCATTGCAAGGGTACTGGTTGTTGATGTAGAGGTCATTGCAAGGCAGATAGTGCAAACAATGTAGAGGTCATGGCAAGGGTACACGACGCAATGGATCGCGCCACAGATTTAAAACGTAATTTACGTTACATTGTCCAACTGTACTTGTACTGGCACTTCTGTCTCATGCAGTGCAAGGTGTCGATCCCAGCAGCGACGTGTGCTCCTGGCCGCACACTTGACAGGCTGTTCTGAGAACGCACGATTTCGCGTTGCCTTGGATTTTATTGGCTACGAATGCGCCAATCAAATGCATTCGTGGATTGTATTGGCGCAAATTGACCAATCAAAACACGCGTGGAATTGGCGCCACACACCATAGCTGCGCAGTGCGAACTGCAAGGCGTGGACGGTGTCGAGTATGCATTGCAAAGCAAAGCAACGTGTCCACGTCCTGAGAGTGGCCACATTCGAGCGCGAAAGAATGCACTTTCGGGTGCTGAGAGACGACTCACTTTTCCATTTGCCGTCAAACGCACATTCAAAACACAATGCAGTTCCTCTCGACGCTTGCTTTGGCGCTTGCCGCGACCTCGACCGCCCAGACGCTCTTTGATTCGGGTCTCCCGGAAGACCGCGCCGTCACGTATGGTGCTGTCATCACCCAGAAGATGCCGTGGGCCGTCCAGTTCCGCGCTGGCAGTCACTGCGGCGAGGGCCAGTCGATCGAGTCGGTCGAGTTCATGGTCAACACGCTCAAGGCGACGGCCAAGGACTCGTGGATTGAAGCCGACATTTGCTTCTCGGAGCCCGGCACGGGCTTGGTCGAGGGTGTCCCTGGGTGCGCCAACGACTCGACGCCGATGCGCTTCAACATTGAGAAGCAGGAGAAGCGCACGCTCCTCAAGTGGTCGCCGCCTGCCAACAAGACGCTCTTGCCCAACGCCAAGTACTGGCTCGTCCTCACCACCAACGTCGAAGACTCGGAGAAGGCCGTGTACTGGTACCATGGCTCGACGCGCTTCGGTCGCAGCAACGACCCCAAGGACGACGCCCTCGCGGCCACCAAGATGCTCGTGCCGTGGGGTGGCATGGACTGGGTCGCCGAAGAGCCGCTCGACCACCGCCGTGTGCCGCACGCCAAGATTGTCGCGCGCGCCTAAGCCCAACGAACCTGCTTTCGTATCCTCCGTGTATTCAAAAACATGACTAGATCTTTTGTTCCCTTCTCGTTTGGACAACTTTGTCGTTGTCAATATGACATGTTACAGCGGTTACATAAAGTCTTGGATACCGGATTGCTAAAGCGCTTGCGTCGCTCGATTTGTGTCCTGTGTGGTGGCTTTCGCGGTACAATGCAAACAACGTAGCGAGGGGAGAGCCATCTTCCAGGACAGGAAGCAGGCAAGCAGTTGTATTGTGTTCCGCCAAGAAGGCAGATTGTGAAGTATTGATAAGTGATGCACAGCGAGTCGTCGCAAGGTCACAAGCGCCCCAGGACGACCACTGAAGTGCAAGACGAGCCCCCGCGCCGCCGCCTGCGCAGCCACGTCCCGGCGAGTGAATGAAGCAGAAGGGGATTGCTAGTCTCTACGTATGCGAACTCTTTGTAACAACGAAGATAACGCAAAACACGTTCATATTTATATTGAGAAGTGATGACTATGGCAGCTGGACTATGGAGGCCGGCGCCGTGGATGGAACGATAGGCTGTGCCGGATGAGTCCATCGCCAAGAGGTTCCATGTTGGGCCACAACAGTTTAGGGTCGTTACAGTACCAGACATCATCCGTTCATGGCACCTAGACCTATCCTATCTACACCACGCCCACACAAACTACACCGACTCTAGGCTACTTGCTTCCTGGAGTCTTAACTCTCCAGCGATACACGCTTGCATCGGGCTAACACGGCTTGACCAAACCAGACACAACACCTGGAACCGTCGGGTGTCGTTGTCGAAATACATGCACGAGGTGGCGGCAATATCATCAAGACCACCCGTATACGATTCCAATGCGATGCTCAGGTGGTCCATAGAACCAAAGCGAACGAGGAAAAGAGGCAGCTACACGTCAAGCGGCGGGGAGAGCGTCGAGGGTAAACGGGGATTAGAACCACCAACACATAGAACGACGTAGAGTGCCGCGACGGGGTCTGTGCCAGAGTGTTCTGCGAACGTTGTATTCTTGGAGCAAGCTGGCGACGACGTCGGTTTTCTTCAAAGAGCAACCTGTCACCTCAACCCAATCAAGAGGGAAAGCTAAGCGATGCCGCTAATCCGGCGCGTCGCCGTTGCCTCTGTACGTTCGTATGGAACGACGGTGCTTGATGATGCATCACTGGCAATCGTTTGCAGTCCAGCGACCGCAATCGCCACTGTGAAGTTGATACCGTGGCCAACGGGAAAGAGAAGAAAGGGCATCTTCTACGGGGTTAAACTTCGCACACCTCCTGCATGTAAAGCAGGAATCCACCGACGGGACAAAAGGTTAGTAGGGTGAACCCCGTGTTTTCTTGGGGCAGGAGCTCTTTGGTCAAGGTTTTGCATTAGGGTAGCGTGCAATCTAGCGGTGGGATCGTGTACTGCGTGTGTCGTAGTTTGGACTCGTCGGTGTACGGAATCATGTGCATTGAAGTTTAGCGTACCCTGCCCCACACCTCGTGTTTTCTTGGGGCAGGGCGTGGTTGATCTTTGTGGTTTAGATAAGGCCGGTGGGCCATCTAGCGGTCTTTCTGCGTCGCATGCGCAGTAGTTTCATTTGTGTAGAAGGTTTGTGCAGGGTGCAGTGGAGCCTTTTGATTTCAGTTTGGTATCGGGGCAGCGTGCAATCTCGCGGTAGATTGACCAAATGCCAATTGCGTTTCGACAGCCTCAAACGAGTCTACTAGTGAGCAAGGTGCGCAACGAGCGGCGCCGGCCCATGGTGACATTTGATCCCATCCATAAATCATTTAACTCTGTGGCTGCTTTTCACGAGTAGCACGTGTCACTTAGGTAGCTAGCATTGGTGCGATGACGGTCGATGGATCGACATCACAGAACACCGAATGATGATCAACCGCAGCAAGACTGGCGCTTGCACCTCAAGTAAGTGTTTGACAGTACACATATACTCGCACCGCCTACCACACAGACTTCTCAGTTGCGGAGGTTGAAATTCCATGTCCTTCTAGATTCTAGATACGCGTGCATGTCAAGCACCGGCCTCTTCCCTGCGCAAGATAGGTCATTGTCGCCGCAGGCACTACCGCACCCCACCATCAACAGGAAGGAATGTGCGACGTATCATGGAGCGTCATGCAGCATCGCATCGCATTCCATTCGAGCTAAACTATGACACCCTCTTTCAGACTTTTGCAGTTACCATGCTCATCTGTACCGACGGCGCCAATGGCCACGATGGCACAGAGAGAGCGCAGTCGGTCTTCACTCTCATGGCCGGTCGCTGCACATACCGTACACGGGCGACACTCTCTATCTGATAATCATGATTTGATTAGGGTTGGGGTTGGCAACCCGTTGTTCTCATTTCTGAAATCCACCCAACCGCCAACCAATGCGGAGGCACGCAAGAGTGGACTGTCAACCTTTTTCTTGCTGTGCCATACCGATCTTCCCGACGATACTGCGACGGGATCGGTTCTGAACATGAGCAAGATTCTGACTGTGATCAGAAAAGGAGCACTGGTCTCTACCCAAATCAGAATGTCGCCACATCGACACTACTGGCCACCGTTTCCAACTAGAGTGGCCTGGGCAGAGAAACAGTTGTTTTTTGTTTACTTTATACAAGCTCATTATATGAAATACTAGTTGACTAGAATAGCCTATACACCAATTAGAGCCTTGTCGCGTGTTCAAGCTCTCTGGATGTGATTCCAAGCCAGGCCTACTTACGATCACTATCATCGCGTGAATCAGAAACACCAAGCAGCCAATCATACGCGCCGAGCCATCTCAGAGCGGGCAGGGCACGCGGTGTCGGCGTGATCACGTTTTTCACGACAAAACCACAACTGTCTTCACCCGTGGCAGCGTCGATATGCCTTAGAATGCAAGTACCGGTAAGTACTGGCGCCGGATCGCCACACACCTGATTACAAGATTTGTATCTGATAGCATCGCTGACGTCTGAGAAATAGCGTAGCCCACTCGGACCTTCCTATAAGGTACATGCCGGCAGCGACTCTGCTGAATACGAGTACCGGTAGGCAAACTTGTGACTGCGAATTGGAGCTGCAACGGGCGGGCTGCGTCAGCTAGGCAGCATAGCGTTGAGGCGCTGTCGCCGTGAGATGCTCGCAACGGCAGTGGTGGAGGTTCCGGTGGGCACGACCCGCCTCGGACGCACGTTTTTTCAGTGGAGACCTTGACCCCACGAGACTTTGTTGAGAGGCGACTGCTAGCATGGAGCTGCACGGTTCCTCACAAGCTCGTTCACTGCCTGTCGTTCGCAGTCCACAGGCTACTCCGACGTGTGTTGTTGTCTCCGACGTGAGCGCACGAAATAACCAACTCAGATCCAGGAGGGTACATTAAAGCCACTTCGGGATATGCTCCGGGATGGTGAGCTGCGAGCAAATTCTGGGATCGTGAAGTGCTACTAGGTGTAGGGTTTACCTCGTCCATGCGGCTGATCAGCCGCACAGGATGCCGAGCGATGCCACTCTGTCTAACCAGACCAGAACCCGCTTTGAAGCACCAGCTAGCGACTCCACCTCACTTACTTTTCAATTTGAGCACCATGGTCCAAGCCGCCTCTGTCTTTGCCCTCGCCGCCGTCGCCGCCGTCCAGGCCGCCCCCATCGTCCACTACATCAAGGGCGACCACCAGTCGACGAACACGATTGAAATCGTCGGTGGTGGCGAGGCCGCGATTGGCAAGCACCTCTACGTCTCGGGTCTCCGCGACGTCGCCACGGGCCCCAACTACTGCGGTGGCGCCGTCATCTCGCCGACGACGATCCTCACGGCCGGCCACTGCGCCGAAGGTGACTGGATCGAGTACGTCTCGATCGGCTCGCACTACCTCAGCGGCTCCAAGGACGGCGAGCGCATCAAGGTCAAGAAGATCGTGCACCACCCCAAGTTCGACATGGACACGATGGTCTACGACTTTGCGATCCTCGAGCTCGCCAACGCGACGACCGTGACGCCGATTGAGGTTCTCTTCGACGAGAAGGACGCGGCCGGTGCTCCCGGTGTCCTCGGCATGGCCCGTGGCTGGGGCACGACCTCGTCGGGTGGCTCGCAGTCGAACGTGCTCAAGGAGGTCGGCCTCAAGCTCTGGTCCAACAAGGACTGCCAGGCCGCTTTCGACAAGCTCAACGAGCCGGGTTTGACCCCCGTGGACGTCACGATGATCTGCGCCGGTGGCGTCAAGGGCGAGGACACGTGCCAGGGCGACTCGGGTGGCCCGCTCACGGTCACCAAGAACGGCAAGGACGTGCTTGTCGGTCTCACGAGCTGGGGCCTTGGCTGCGCCGAGGCCGGTCTCCCGGGTGTGTACGCGCGCCTCTCGTACGCCAAGGACTTCATTGAGCCGTACCTCCCCAAGCCGGCTTGCTAAGCAGCGTGGACCCTTGTGCCGTCGTCGTATGTGTGTGGGCCGCCACGGCCGAATTGAGGCGAGCTAGTTAGTTTTTACCAAGTCGTTTTCAATACAATAGCATTTCCAATGCACAAGACTCTTGTCGATTTTAACCATGGCAATCGATGTTGTATGGCCCCAATTTGGCAAAAAGCAACACTTTAAAGACCTGCCGACAGCAGTCAGATCTGAGTTGATTCATTAGCTGCCATATGGCTCGACTGCAGACCACAAAAAATGCAGGTATGATCTAAGTTGCGAGGAAGCGAGTCATCTACGAGCGCCTGCTGCGTAACAGCACGCACGCTGTGTATAAATAGCCGAGCGGCAAATGAGGCACAAGAACGTTTTGTTGCCTTGTTAGTGTGTTTCCTCCACCTTGCAGGAAACGACGCCCGTCCTTCCTGCCCATGGGGCTTGATGCGATACAAACGAGAATCGCAGCCGACACACCTAGAACGTTTGCACATCTGACACGGGTCGCTACGACCGAGAAAGGACATGGCTCGTCGAGATGGAGTTGGAGGACCAAGTGGGAGGACATCAGCGTTTAGAAGCCCGTGAAACGTACGATCATCTTCTCGTGCGCTGCCCATACGTCCGAGCGATCTGGTGCGCCTTTGTACCGATGCGAGACATTCTGCAGATGCAACTCCCGTCGTCGGTCGCTGGCTTTCTCTACGACGATGTCGCCACGCCGTACTCGGTCCACAAGTTGCCCGTTCGTGCCCTCTGGCCAATCTTACGTGCTTGCGTCTGGTATTGTATTTGGCTCGAACGCAACAACCGTATCTTCCGCTCGACGCTGACGCAACTTCCCGCTGCCGCGCTCGCGATCCGAGCAGCTACTACCGCACGATTGCACATCCGGCACTTAGCCCGTCGCGCTGTGGTGCTATCTCTTGACGCGTCGCTGGTCGCTCTCCGCGACGATCCTTGGTGTGCACGCTACCTGGTCCCTCGCACAATCTCGAATCACGACCACTAACGCTCCTCGCTGACGCACTGGCCACGCCTCACGAGCGCATTAGGAAGTCCACCATATCTTTATAATTGCATGTAATATAACTCAGTTCAACAACAACATCAGCGTTTAGAGACTCGGAAACACGGTTTGAAATCAGACCCAACGAAACGTTCATCCTTTTCGGCGGTGGTACAGTGTACAACCTGAACAGAATCGTGACTAGAATAATACCCAGGCACGTCCGATGTAAGAGCGTGCAGAGGCACCCAAGATGTACCTTAGATGGCTCTGCTGCTGCGACCTCGTCGAGGCAGCTCGCGTCATCGCACGCCAGTGTTAGCTTTTGGTATTGTACAGCTCGTGTAGGTACCCAACCCAGCCTTTTTCTCGAGACGGCGCCACTTCGGGTCTTTGTTTCGTTGAACGCTGTCGGACTCGGGACCAACGCAACGGTCCCCATCATCGCGAATCAGAATCGTCAGGCAGCCAATCAAAGACGCCGACCCATCTCACGCGTTGCAACGACAAGCGGGTGTCGCGTGATCACAATACTGTATGGGTGCTAAATAGTCGTTATACCGAAGCGGAGGCCGCGCGAAGACACGTCTGAAAAGCGTGACGTGGTCAACTACCTTGCACCCATGGCAGCGATGGTTCGCTCTCTCGCAGTTGACGCTGACCTTGATAACCGAGTCCTGGTGCCAAAGCTCTATGCACCAGAGACCTGATTACAAGATTCGTATCGAGTAGTATCGTTGGCGTCTGAGAAGTCGGTCGCTAATTGGGACTGTCCTATAAGGTACATGCTAGTCGCGACTCTGCTGAATACGAGAGCAAACAAACCTACGGCTGCGACCTGGAATTGCAACGGACCGTCTGAGACACCACTCTACCATGATGTTTGCATGTTAGTCCTGGCGCCGATCGCCATGGTGCACGCCCTGACCGCGCGTTCTATTGGATAGCTAGCTACCTCTGCATTCGAAACGATTATAGATGAGAGACTGTCGCTACGACCATCCACAGCTCCCATAAAGTTTGTTTGCTACCTACGTTCGCCGTCCACAGGCTACTCCGATGTGAGCGCCTCGAAATAACCAACTCAGAATCTTACAAATGGGAGCAAATTCTGGAATCGTGAA